TCGATATCGGGTTTAAGGCTGATGGAAAACTACGGAAACTAATTAGTGGAAAAGTTGTATCCGAAAGGGACGTTTTGGACTGTAGAATCCAGTGCAAGAATAAGTTAATACATATAGTTAAACATTTAATGACAAAAACACCTATTACATATGCCATGGCCAGAAATCTAGGGTGTCTGCATCCTAAATGGATAGCGAATCTTCCGGATATAGCAAAGACACAATTTAAACACATCCTTGAAATACAGTATTAATAACAGCCAAAAAATTAGATGAGGCGACAAGTGATTTGATAAAGTCTGAATATGATGATTTTATTAACTATGTGTCTAATTTGTCTCAATTGGATATATTAGAATTTAAAAACTATGACGCTCTTAACAGTGATTCGTTAGATTTGTTTTTAATGAGACATCTTGAACATTTTAAAAATTTGCAAAAACTTTTCAAGATGTTGCTGATCTTATCTCACGGACAAGCTGGAGTAGAACGCGGGTTTTCTTTTAATGCAAAAATTTTAACGGAAAATATGCAGGAAAAATCTATAATAAATCGAAGGCATATTGTGCATCATGTACATTTAATTGGCGGAGTGGACAAATTTGAAGTTACGCCCCAGTGCCTTCAATATGCTAGTGCAGCTCGAATAAAATACAGACAATACCTGGATGACCAAAAGAAAGAGGATGCTAAGTCAACAGTAGATTCAAAACGAAAATATATTGGAGATGAACTTACTGACTTTAAAAAGAAAAAGAAATGCCTTGAAAATGACATTATTACGCTGGAAGCTTCGGCGGACGAGAAGGCAGATAATGCGGAAAAAAGCCGTGACATCAAGAAACTTTTAATTGAGTCGAACGCCCTTCGCAGGGCAGCAAGAGCCAAAAAGGCCGAAATTACGGAAATAGATGAACAAATAGCTAAACTTGAAAAACTATTAAAACAATAATAAACGTATTAATAATCGGCAAATTAACGTCAATAAACTGTACTACTTTTTATTCGTACTTTAGTTTAATCAGTTAACTGTGGTCCGAGTCGAAAAGGGAAATAACTCTGTTTTAAAAATGGCGGGAGTTTGTCCAGTGTGCTGAAATTCGATCTGTAATAATAATAAAAAAGTTTATGTCTTCAATTCCTTTTAAATATGAGATTATAACGATAGTTGGTAATGTTTTGGTTATTTTTAAGATGAAAAATTGTAACTTTTAGGCTAAAAAATGTCCTTGAAAATCCTTGAATTTGACGTATATTTATTCTTGAATATCATTGAAAAAATGTTTGACGAAGCCGCGGGAACCCTGTATAGAGGTCACAATTTTTATCTGATTTTGTTGAAACTTGAAATGTTAGTTTATAACACAAAGATCTCGGTTCCTTTCGATATTCGCGCACATCGGACCGTAACTTCATGAATTATGGCCCCTTATTGTATGACAAATCGCGTTTTTAGCTTGTGGACCATATAGAGGTCATAATTTTTATCCGATTTAAAAAACGTTTTGTCATATCACCGTTACACCCTAAGGACGGCTGAGTTCGAATTTCGTGACGAACGGCCCAAAACTGACAGATAAAATGGCCGCCCTTCTTTCTCAAATAGCGTAAAAGTATGGTATATCAAGGTTGTGGACCCTATAGAGGTCACAATTTTTATCCGATTTTGTTGAAACTTGAAATGTAAGTTTATAACCCAAAGATCTTGGTTCCTTTCGATATTCGCGCATATCGAATTGTAATTTCCTCAATTATGGCCCTTGATTGTAGGAAAAATCACTTTCATTTTAGCTTGTTCTCTATCCATCTCTCGAAAATGTGGGCATATCCTGCCTGGCAGCCACTGGTTACATGTACAATAACATATATTTTTTTCAAGATTTTTTTGAGGGGGTTGATTTCCCACCCCTGGCCCACTTGACATGGAATGACCCAGAAGCAGGTCTATCAAACCCCGGGTGATATATGGTGGAGATGCAGAGTCGATTTGTGAGTATCTCTCAAGCTGTGTGAGTGTTTCTTTGAGTCTTACACCCCCATCAAGACAAAGGAGATAATTGCAACTTCAAATGGAGCACCAGATGATTTACTATATAATGTTTGAAGGCGTCGAATTGGATTTTTCTGGAGATGAAGGACATGAAAATCCAACAAAATGGCTACAGAAGTTTGAATTTGCATGTGAAATATTAAATGTAACATAGGACAGCAAGATTGAATTCTTTTCTTCATTCATGACAAACAGAGCATCAGTGTGGTTTCAATCAGTTTCTAAAACGATAAAAATGGATTTTAAAGAATTGAAAACTGCCTTTAAGGACGAATATGGTCATGAAGTTATTGTTAATTATAGACAAGAAGTATGTAGAAGGAAACAGCAGTGAGAAGAAACAGTAGCAGAATATATTCATGAGATGAAAAAAATGGAAAGCTGCTTAGAATCGCAATAACCGTGACTACAAGATCAAATGGGAAGGACATGCACAAAAAACATGCAAGAATTAGAAAAACTGTCTCATTTTGCTGAAAAATATTTGGTAATATTGGATTGGATGGATCAGATGCTCACTGACAATAACAGAACTACAAAAGCTACTAATGATCTAGAGGAGTCAACAAGATTAACCAGTGATCATATTGACGAAAACAATATAATTGTTAACTTGTTCTTAAAGCTGATAGAGCATCATGATATCAATATAGAACCAGATGAAGTGCCTGACTATGGTACAACTAGTGTATTAAATGAAGACAAAATTGAACAAACAGTGAAAGAAGAAATTAAAAACAAAGAAAAACAGTGTCGAGATATTTTGACTAAAGCAGTAACCAACACCCTAGGGTCGATATCAGATATCACCCTCTCATGACGTCAAAACAGGTTTATGGGCTCTTTAATGAAAAAGGGCACAAATTCTTTCTTCTAACATTTTATTCACTTTTTTTTACATTGTTGTGAAACGATAAGGACGACAAACTTTGCCAGTCCATGTTACTTAGTTTCTTCATCAGTCCATAAATGTGAAAAATTTGCCATAACTAGATATGGAATTCGATGGGTAATATTCATCATTTTATTTTGCTTACTTCCAAGACAAATCTAGACATCTTATATACTCATCTTTCAGCGCACACAGGATTTTTCGCTCACTATCATATTTATTATTCCGCCACACTGACCAACTGTTAAAAAAAAAAAATCAAAGCCCACTAATGTCTGCGTAAGGTATTTATGGGCAAGACATTGTTGGCACATTCACTGACGTCTTGTCACTCAAAATTGAAAAGCCTTTATCATTTGTTTCTTCTTCTCAATCCAAAATTTCCGAGTACATTAAATCCTTGTTAAATATTTTCTGCATAAATTCTTCACTTTGACTAGCTTTAAATAATTCTTAGGTATTAGTATTCTACGCATCCTGGCTAAAAATTTAATTTTTTAGAACACGGGAACAGTGCCTGCTAATCTAGCCTAGTTGGGGGCGTGGTATTTTTGGGTGTGTCTATTAGGGGTAACCCACCGCACAAACTGTCTGGCAGTGGTCATTCATGCTTCCTGTGGTAGTACTGAACAACTCCAAAGCTGTTTTAAGGGGTACAGACTTCAACTAATCTAGCCTAGCTGTGGACTGGAAATTAGATAACTCTTGTCAAGGATACACTACCACTACAAATGTCTGACAATTACATAGCTCTGTCAGGGGTAACCCACCACTAGAAATGTCTGTTAGAGTGTTTTTGTAACACCTGAAGATGTACGGTACACTGCTGTACGATTTTCATGTGGTACACTTTTGAGCTAATCTAGCCTAGTTGGGGTGCATGGCATTTTGGGCGTGGAATACCACACCCACCACCGGAAACCCGGCAGATTTACATTCTGATGATACCAGATATATATGCATTGATAACATATAGGAAAAAATTGGCTCCCGGTCTAATTGTCTTATAGGTGAAATCAATTAGGATAGATTTAACATTGATGTCAGTGTGTAAGACAAATATTACCCTAATACTATCGGTCGATATGTGAAATAACCCAATTTATCAGCCAGAAGCCTAATCAAAGTCAACTTTGTAATTATATTAGAGAGACATTGTTTCATAAATTATTATCTATTGTCCAGTTAATCCAGTAGACATTAATGTATTAAGGATTATAAAGTAGGGTTACTAATAGCCCGTTCAGACGCTTATTGCTGGGGTTTTTAAGACAACATCGTGTTGCGTTCACACATACTATAAGCCAAACCAGTTTAACTATTCTGACCTCTTCGGTCGGAGGTTAGAGTTAATTGCTCATGGGTAGCTTCATATTCTTTATTCGATTCTCGCACGCTTTAGATAACATTGGCACAGTCTGACCCCGATATTTTCACAGGAATGTAACTGACTGCGTACTGCGCATGCTCAAAGCAAGCTGGAGCTGGGTTTTTTAAGCCAACCCGTTCAGACGGCTAAGATGAACCAGTTTAAAATAAAAAGCCTTCTCGAAGACAGGTCGCGAGCTGGAGTTTTTAAACTGGTTTATTTGCCCCACATGTGCGTTCAGATGCTTAAGTTAAACTGGTTTAACGATCCCCGGGGTTTTTAAACCAATTCAACTTAAGCGTCTGAACGGGCTATAAGAAACAAAGCTAAAGGTATAAAAGTCCTGAAAATTGTTTATTGAGAACAAAGGGGTGGTAGGCAGGAGGACATATTGAAGGGCAGGTCTCTGATAAGTTATTTGTTAGATGCTGTTCCTTATTAACTTACCCAGCCAATGGGTCATTATTGTATATTTATATTATTATTGTTGTGTGTTGCCAATATATAGAAGTATACAAAGAAGAAGTGAGTTGTTCAATTATTGCATGTTCAATCTTATATCCCCAACTAGATTGAACATACAACCCATCATCGAAGGTTGGACTGATAAGCAGGTCTATTTAACCCTGGGTGATACTATTGTGATTGTTTTATTTATCTGTATATTTAGATCTTTATTATATTTACAGTTATATATTCTCCCTGGTCAAAACATGTTTTAGAAGCCTGGAAAATTAAAGACGAGGAAAATATTTTATTTATTAAATATGAAGACATGAAAAAGGTTAGCTACTAGTTTTCATAATCACTTCCAGTTTTAGAGTATATTTTGTATATCTTGATTATCTTTTATAATCAACGTGCTGGTTGAAATATTTTCCAGGATATTTCATCAGTGATACAACAATTATCCCTATTTTTAAATAGACCCCTCACAGATCAACAAATAAAACTAATAGTTGAATGTACCAAATTTGATGCCATGAAAAATAATCCAGCATCTAATTACTCCTGGATGAAAGGATGGGGTATTAAAGATGATAAAGAATTCCTTAGAAAAGGTAGGTTATGCATACACTTTCCAGAACATCTGATACCACTTTTGATTTTGGGAGATCACATATCTAACACACATCCTTATAATTAAAATTTACTCTGTCATACTGACGATTCTTTTCTTTTGTCCATGCCAAACAAAGTTAAGAAGTTGGATATTGAAATGGATCCTGCCCTCCCTATCCTTTGTTTTTATTTCAGGACCATATCTCAGGAGCCTTTACTTTGAACACACAGGCCTTCACGTAAAAGGAGCACGATCGCTCTCGCTCTCGCTCTCCTGGACGCGCCTGGATGTCAGTCAAGGTGTGTTTTTTAAAGCTCTCCTCAATGTCTAAATTGACTCCCCTCAATGAAAATAATCAGGGAAATTATACCGGTAACAAAAATACTGTCAATATCTACAATCAATTTGCTACAATAACAGTCATACGTTAGTGAGAGTCGGCCATCCGGTTCATAATCCGAGTAATTAGCACATTTAACTGTAATTTTGATAATTCTGCAAAAAAAAATACAAGCTCGTTGGTTATTCATAACAGGTCCAGTAAGTTTCCTTTGTAATAATAAACCACGTGGCAAAGGAAGACATGAATCTCGTGCATCGTGCCCCGTCTTCGACCCTCGATCCGTACGAATTCTAGGTAGATATTAAAATAATAATTGGATAATGCATTTTATGGTTTCACAGACCTGTTGTTAGTTAAAGTTAAATATTCATTGAATAATCCCTGATAGAACACGGGATATCCAGAGAGTTAGATATTAATAATATATATGTATTATTCCATCAAGATCTTCAATGCTTTCAGGGGGGGGGGGTAGCTGAATGGTTAGCGTGCGCACGCTGTATCATAAAGTCTGTCATTGAGTCGACTGGCATGGTTTCGAATCCCCGGTTGTCTGTCACAAGGAGTAGGGTCGCCTGTCCAACCTTGTGGGTTTTCTCCGGGTCCTCCCACTGCTAAAGACCCCTACGTGCAAGCGAATTATGTAAAATAGAATTAAACCATATGTTAGTCCCGAAATGACCTAGTTTGTGTCGAGTGGATGTTAAACCCCATTTCTCTTCTCTCTCAATGCTTTCAGATTCCCGATAACACGTGACATGCATTGGTTGGAATTAGGTCAATAAACCAGCATAGCTAGATTTAGTTTTAAATAGTTTTTTAGTTTTATTCATTTTTATTTTATGCACATGCTGACAGGGACTTATTCTTAAAAAATATTGTCCTTATTATTTAAGGCTATGCGGAGTCGTACAGAATTTTATTTTATATAAAGCAATTTCAATTATGGTTGTCAAGTGATCATTATGTGCCGCTTGTCTTTCATCCACGAATTAATGAAAACTTTGTAAGTTACATGATAGACAAAAACAATAATTTGTGTTTTAAATATGAAGAAATGTCGTGGTGTTGTATCAGTTTATTTTGGCCAAATCCTAATTTCGATTGACTGATGATATCCGTTTATCCATCAAATAAACGAAGACAGTAATCTATTCAGGAATATTACTGACTTGAACTTGTTGAAGTCTGGTTATATTAAAGTAAACGAGAGCTTTGAATTACCATATTTCTTACCAAGACCTCATTTGACCCAATTCTGACTGGTTGGTTTCAAAATGAATTAAAATCTCGGGACTTTTATCACAAATGCTAACAAAGCTCTTCTCAAGAGATTCAGGAGAGCTTTCTCAGGAGAGCGATTTTCCCTTTTTATACGCCCACATTTTCATGTGGACGTATATTGTCGTCGCCCCTGTCCGTCCGTCCACAATTGTTTGTGAACAGTCTACAGGTCACAACTTTTATCCGATTTCAACAAAACTTAAAATATAGGTTTATCACCCTAAGATCTCGGTTCCTTATGATATTGGCATGTATCAGACTGTAACTTCATGGATTATGGCCCCTGATTGTACGAAAAATCACGTTTTTAACTTGTGAACACCGTAGAGGTCACAATTTTTATCCGATTTGATTTAAACTTGAAATGTATGCTTATAACCCAATGATCTCGGTTCCTTTCGATATTTCCGCATATCGGAATGTAACTTCCTGAATTATGGCCCCTGATTGTACGCAAAATCGAGTTTTTAGCTTGTGGACCCTATAGAGGTCATAATTTTTATACGATTTAAAAAACATTATTATCACCATTACACCCCAAGGACGACTGAGTTCGAATTTCGTGAAAATCGGACCAAAACTGACAGACAAAATGGCCGCCCTTCGTTCACAAATAGCGTAAAAATATGGTATATCAAGGTTGTGGACCCTATAGATGTCACAATTTTTATCCGATTTTGTTCAAACTGGAAATGTAAGTTTATAACACAAAGATCTTGGTTCCTTTCGATATTCGCGCATATCGGACCGTAACTTCCTGAATTATGGCCCCTGATTGTACAAAAATCGCATTATAATTTTTATACGCCCACATTTTCATGTGGACGTATATTGTCGTCGCCCATGTCCGTCCGGACGTCCGTATGTCTGGACATCCGAACGTCAGTCCGTCCGGCCGTCCGTCCACAATTGTTTGTGGACTCTCTACAGGTCACAATTCTTATCCGATTTTGACGAAACTTTAAATATAGGTTTATCCCCAAAAGATCTCGGCTGCTTTCGATATTGGCATGTATTGGATCGAAACTTCATGGATTATGGCACCAGTTTGTACGAAAAATAACGTTTTTAGCTTGTGGACCCTATAGAGGTCACAATTTTTATCCGATTTTGTTAAAACTTGAAATATAAGTTTATAACCCAAAAATCTCGGTTCCTGTTGATATTCGCGCATATCGGACTGTAACTTCCTGAATTATGGCCCCTGATTGTACAAAAAATAGCTTTCTTTTTAGTTTGTTCTCTGTCCATCTCTCGAAAATGTGGGCGTATACTGCCTGGCAGCCGCTGGTTATCTGATTTAAAAAACCATATTATTATATCACCGTTAAACCCTAAGGACGGCTGAGTTCGAATTTCGTGAAAATCGGCCCAAAACTGACAGACAAAATGGCCACTGTTAGTTCTCAAATAGCATAAAAATATGGTATATCAAGGTTGTGGACACTATAGAGGTCACAATTTTTATCCGATTTTGTTAAAACTTGAAATGTAAGTTTATAACCCAAAGATCTGGGTTCCTTTCGATAATCACTCATATCGGACCGTAACTTCCTGAATTATGGCCCCTGATTGTACGAAAAATCGTGTTTTTAGCTATAGAGGTCATAATTTTTATCCGATTTTAAAAAACGTATTATTATATCACCGTTATACCCTAAGGATGGCTGATTTCGTATTTCGTGAAAATCGGCCCAAAACTGACAGACAAAATGGCCGCCCCTAGTTCTCAATTAGCGTAAAAATATGGTATATCAAGATTGTGGACCCTATAGTGGTCACAATTTTTATCCGATTTTGTTGAAACTTGAAATGTAAGTTTATAACCCAAAGATCTTGGTTCCTTTCGATATTTACACATATCGAATTGTAATTTCCTGAATTATGGCTCTTGATTGTAGGAAAATTCACTTTCTTTTAAGCTTGTTCTCAATCCATCTCTCGAAAATGTGGGGTATCCTGCCTGACAGTTGCTGGTTCCAATTTCAGGAGAGCCTTTTTTTGACTCTCCAGGAATTTATTCACACGAAGGCCTGAACAAACATCAGTCTATTATGGTGCATGCCTTTTGTCAATGGAAAAAATATTGGTTTTTTTTAATCATTTTTTTAGAGATTGCTTATATCAGGAACTACTTGTTGGATTGTTTTAATCTCTTTCTAATTACCAAATTTTTCTGGTTATTTTTATTAAATACTGCTGTCATTTTACTAATAATCTTTCGATTTTAACAATTGATACATTTTAGCATAGCCAAGACCCGCAGCAAGATGTGTCCCACAACTTTGGTATTTCAGTTTTTAGACTTTTGATAAATCTTTGCATATATTAAATGCCACATTCTGAAAATTTGCATTTTTTTTATATTAATGGCAATTTAGATAGTGTTCAATGGTAGTGTTAACTGAAAAGAAATATGAACAATTGTTCTTTTTTTAGCCACAATTTGTCGGCAGGGCGATTTACCTGATACTACCTAATGCAAATTAAATACTACCTCATTATTGTGAAAAACTAACATAGCGGTTGAATTCTTCAAAAAAATTGAGTTAATTCACGGTTTTAGCAAAATGTTTGTACGATAAACTGGATAAGACTATTTTTATAGTATCAGTACCAGGGTCAAGCCTCTGAAATTCTAAGCCATTACTACAAAATACAACCATATACTCCTGATTATTATCCAAAATTCACGGAATCCTTCAAAATTACTTCAATAAGTGATGGATAATGGCCGGAGACCGTCCATTATGTAAATACCCCCGAAGTTGTTCTTTCTATTTACATAATGGACGGTCTGAGGCTATTATCAAACTTAAAACATAGCACCATAGAGATACAAATAATGGATAGTTTTCTAAAACAACAAGCCATAAAATATTGGATATATTCTTAAAACAACATGCACATGCTCATGAATGCGGGGTCTTCCCATATCGCCGACTCGCCGAGTTTTGGAAAGTCGACCACGGCACCCTTTGATTGGATTAAAACGGATTAAAAGCGTTAATGAGGCAGGGACCAGTCATTATTAATATAGTTCACTGAAATTGATTTTTACCACAGACCTTTATTGACTTTTTTGCAGAAACAATTATTAAAATTCGTGAAAAGGTTGTTGACTCCCCCCCCCCCCCCCTTACACTGACATTGATGTCCCACCCCAGTGTAATTTCTCTGCTTTTGAGCCATTGAATGTTGATGATGTAATATCAGTGGTGCGTCGAATGAAGTCTAAGTCATGTGCTCTGGACCCAATTCCTACAAAACTACTAAAAGAGTGTCTGGATGAAATAGCACCGGCTTTGACGATTATTATAAATGATGTGCTCTCCTCTGGTATTTTTCCGGATGATTGTAAGGAGGCCATT